GCTTTGGCATCTTTAATGCAAGTTAGCTGCTCATCAACCAATGGGCCAATTTTCAGCTTCTCTTCTGTTCTATAGGTCTAGTTGGCCATCCTCAGATCAATACCATCTGGCTCTGATCACCATAACTTCGTGGAAAGTTTTTTTTTTTGTTTCCGGTCGTGGGGCCTGAACTCTGGGCCTGGGCGCTGTCCCTCAGCTCTTCAGCTTGAGCTACAGCACCACTTCCGGCTTTTTTCTTTTTTCTTATGTGGTGCTGAGGAATTGAACCCAGGGCCTCAGGCATGCAAGGCAAGTGCTCCACCACTGAGCCAACCTCCCAGCCCCTCGTGGAAAGTTTTGAAGTCAGGTGTTGTCAGGCCTCCAACTTTTCCTTTCCTTTCCTTTTCCTCCCTCCCTTCCTCCCTCCCCCCCTCTCTCTTTCTTTCTTTCTTGCTTTCATCTTTTTTTTGTGCCTACTCTAGTGTCTTTATAATCCTTTATATGAATTTCAGGCTCAACTTCATGCTTAATTTTAACCTAAGGATCTAGAGAGGAGACTTTGGGGAATTTTTGATGGGATCATGTTGAATCTGTAGATCTAGAGAAACTTGGCATTTTAGTATTCATTCTGTCAATTTCCAAAGGTGGTATGTGTCGTCCACCTTTATTTAGGTCTTCTTATTTCTTTTTGTTGGTTGTGGGGCCTGAACTCTGGGCCTGCGCACTGTCCCTTAGCTCTTCAGCTCAAGGCTAGCACTCTACCACTTGGGCTACAGTGCTACTTCTGGCTTTTTCTGCTTATGTGGTGCTGAGGAATCGAACCCAGGGCCTTATGCATACAAGGCAAACACTCTACCACTCAGCCACCTTCCCTGCCCTATTTAGGTCTTCTTTCAATTTAGCAATGCTACTTTTGTAAATTTGAAGTGAAGAAATATTTTTTTTAAGTGAAGAAATTTTTAAAACTTATATAAAAGTGATATACAGAGGGGTTACCAGTACGTAAGTCAGTTAATGAGTACATTTCTTTTGGACAATGTTACCCCTTCCCTTACTCTTTCCCCGGTTTTTCCTCCTATCCCTGCCCATAAGTTGTGTAGTTCATTTTCAACATAGTGTCTAGTGAGTACGACCACCTTTTGTCCCTCTATTTCTGTGCCCTCCTTACCCACCCACCCCAAGACAGATAAATGAAGAAAGAAAGAAAGAAATGAAAAAGAAAGAAAGAAAACTAAGAAAAAAATACAACTCTTGTTTCCATTTCCTGGAAATAGTATCGGAGGCAAAAGACATTGTGCTTTTGTGTGCCTTCCCTGAAGAGTATTCTCCCTTGGTCTCATAGTGAAGAAGTTTTGCAAGACATCTTGTTTTTTTTTGTCATTGTGGGGCTTGAACTCTGGGCTTGGGCACTGTGCCTGCACTCTTCAGCTCAAGACGAGCGCTCTACCGCTTGAGCACCACTTCCAGTTTTCTAGCAGTTTATTGGAGATAAAAGTTTCATCGACTTTCCTGCACAGACTGGCTTTGAACTGAGATCCTCAGATCTCAGTCTCCTGAGTAGCTAGGATTACAGGCATGAGCCACTGACGCCCGGCCATCTTAACTTTTATTTCCAAATAGTTTATAATTTTCATTTCATTGTAATAAATGTGTAAGCATTCATTTTCATGTTTTCTTTGGCCACTTTTATATAGAAGTAATTTTTTTATATGTTATCCTTGTGTCTTACAACCTTGTTAAATTTATTTAGTGCTATTTTTGTAAACCCAAGATTTTCTTTTTTTTTCTTTTTTTATTATTTTATTTTATTTGTGAACATATTGTACAGAGGGGTTACAATTACATGAGCAGGATAATGCATACATTTCTTACCAAGCATTGCAGCCTCCTCCTTTGTTTACCCTTC